AATGATTTCCGTCTATATGGAAGAATGAATATATTTATATCTATTGAAATAAACAGCATCAGTTCAAATTCGCACAATCTTTGTCTGAAAATAAATTCCTCGACATGCGCGCAAAATATCAGCGAAGACGGCATAAATCACATTGAAACCTTCTCTCATCAAACAAATCGCTCCTAAACAATAATTTTGTACTATCATCAACGAATTCGACATTTTATTATACCATTCTTTTTTTTTTGTTTTACCAAGATCTTTTCTATTTATATTATAAACATTATTTATTAATTTCAAATATTCGCTCATCGTATTCTACGTAATGTGTACATATGTTTATTATGAAAAAAAAAAATGAATTTTTCGTGTGTACGTATAAACTCACGCGTGCTAGCATTAAGAGACAAAAAAAAAAAAAAGAACAGAACGAGTTCAACTCACGCACACAAAAGAAGAGAATATGAATATAAAAAAAAAAACAAATCAAAGTCTCTTCGATGAAAACAGAAGAAACTAACAAGAAATAAAAAATAATAATAATAATAATAATAAAGAAAAAAAATCAACATTGTTGTTTCTTTTCTCTGAATTAAATCTTCTTTTGTTTTGCTTTTTTCTTAATCATTTTGTGTCATTGGAGATCAATAGATGCAATAATAGACAAACAAGCACACCATAATGAAAGTTGAGCTACACACAAAAGAAGAAAAAAAAATGAACAAGAAGGTGCGGGTTTTATATACGAATGAGTATCTCGAAAAAGAACTTGCTACAAAAAAAAAAACAAACAAAAGAACAACACAACAACACTAGATAATAAAAAGAAAAATTGAATTATTCATTTTTCTGATTTCTCTTTGTTGGCAGCTTCTTTTTTTTCTTTACGTTTTCGAAGAAATGATGGTGTTCGAAATTTAGATTTTTTCTCCTTTTTTACTTCATCTTCTGTTGTACCTTTACTACCACTTGTACGATTTGGTGAGACCTATATAAAAAATAAAAGATAATTAAAATAATGCGCTCGAAAAAAAAAACAACACAAAGCAATGATTCTTTTCTTTATAATAAAAATCATGCTATTGATGTCAATTGTCAATCAATATAGAGAAATATTCAGCCTCTTTAAAAGCAAGAATAATAGCAGCCCTTTAATATACTGACCAAACTATGTGTTCGAACCACTGATGCTGATGATACTGTTGGATTCTGTAGATAAGTAAATTAAGATAAAAAAAAACAATTATTTTTTTTTTCTCAAATTTTCTTCTCAAATCATATTTTACTTTTGACATACACGAGAAAAAAAACATTAAAACTAAAAACAATCATCAACATACCTCTCGACTTGAAGGTCCCGATGATGATGTATTTGATTTTATTGTATCCGATTTACTTGTAATCACTTCTAAAATGAGAGAAAAACAAAATATTTCAATAAATTAAATATAAAATTCTTTCGAATATCAATTCATTCATACTTGCAGCAGCACTAGCACTACGTGAAACAGTCGTACGACTTTCACTTTCTCCATCATTACCTAAAATACATGCATACATGCAAATTCATGCTAGGAATAATACAACGATAACAGTGCTTCACTTCATTAGTCTTACGTACAGCTTTGCGCATTGGTCTAAGCATGTACTTAGAGTTAACCAAAAGTTCTGATTACAGTGTTTAAAATTTTATAAAATAATTACTATGAAGCAGGCCTCGAAACGGGCCGACCGTCCCGACAATTTTCTAGTTTTTTGACATAACTTTTTCTGAGATTTGACTCACCATGGAGGGAGGATAGAGGGAAGCTTCTCCACATTATCCCCTTTCCTCCCTTTTTTATCTGAACTGAAAGAACTAAACAAATGAATTGACAGCAGACGACGATCTCTCACTCTATATCATAGATGTCCATTGCGGCTGAAAGTCTACCGCTGCCACGCCACGACGATGATCAAGAAAAGCTACCGCGCCGCTACTGCAATGGTATTCAAAAAACGTTTCAATTCTCAAGGTCATGTCTAGTTTGAACTAGAACTACTGCTGCTAATCGACCAGATTTACTAAAGTCTCACAGTATCACATATATGAACACCGAAATTCTTTTGCAAATTCATGTATTTTTGGAATTACTTCCTAAAAATGCTACCGCCACGGCAGCGGCATCGCCATAGATATCTCTGCTCTATATATACTATCGAAATGTAATATTCTAGAACACCATGTCAGAAAATGTCATACAAGAGAGTGAAATGAAAAATGTGGAAAGTTTCAGAATGTACCTGAACATCGGACAAGAATTTGTTAAAGATACGTATAGTCGTTATAGAATTAAATCCAAGACAGAGTTGTTATATACATTACCTTAGACGAGGTATTCTAATATGTATTCATGCAATCTATTTTATAAAATTTTAAGTACTGTGATCAAAACTTTTGATTAACCCTAAGTACGTATAGAGTAACGGTAAATGCATGATAAAACGATGGTGATTAGGGAACTGCGAGTGTACGTTGTTGTGGATACGGACCTGAGAAAAGCTAAGCTTCTGAATCTGAATTTTCCCCACCAATATTTGATACTCTCTGTATGTACATAAACAAATAAAGGATAAAATTTTTAGCTATTTATTGGCTACTTTCAGAAAAAAGGTCAACGTACAGTTATTTCTTGTTGTTTACTTTTCGATCGAAGAAACTGCGAGTTCACATTTTTGTGGATTCAAATCTATAGTAGATTTTCAAAATTCTCAAGTTGAATTTTCTCATTTGAGAAATGCTTAGTTCTCAGAGTTTGGTCATACTTTATAAAAGCCAGCTATTATCTTGAAATAAACCTCATGCGATGGAAAAAAGGTCGAAATGAATCTAAGATCATCATCATCATTATTTTATACGTGCATGTCTAGACCAGTGCGTAGCATACTACCGAAGACTGGTCATCACGATCACTGTTACATTCCTAATTGATTGATGTTTATTATCTTTGTACATACTCTGTCCTGATAAAGTAACACTTCGAGGTAATGTCACATTTTTTTCTGATGTTATTAAACTTTGAACACCACCTGTACCATTAATAAATTGTGGTGATCGACCTAAAATTGTTTATATTTATAATGAATATTTCGATAAATTAAAAGAGCCTCTTTCTCTCTCTCTCTCTTTTTCTGATTAAAGCAAAGAATAATTATCTACAGATGAAAAAGTAATAGAAATAGAAAGTATGATACAAGAAAAAGAAAAAAATAGAGTCTTAAAAATTAGATCATGAATAATAAATCAACTATAGTTTTGTATTCATGATTTAATAAATATTATATTATGATATGAAAATATTTCATAGAATGATAGAAATATATTTTTGTTATCAGCTTATTAATTTTTGGCATGATGATAATAGAATTTGATTAATAAATTTTTATGAAAAATTATAATGATTATTTTGTTGTTCTTCATACATATTTATTCTTGTATCATTTTGTATATTAGAAAATGTTTCTTGTGATATTGATCGTTTATTAATAAGATTAAGATTTTCTTGTTTATTTAATAATTCTTCACTTTCTTGAACAAGTTGTTTAGCATGAATAGTTGACATTTTCTTAGATAAATAATTAAAATATTCATCTGAAGATGTAAATTTTAACATATGACGAATAGTACGTGATGATAAATAAGATTGTTCAATTGATAAATAATGAGCAAGATTTTCATAAAAAATTTTTTTATTATCTTGTTTATATAAATAAACAGGTGCTTCACGAAGTGTAATATTTTGATAATGATATGGAGATATTAATTGTGGTTGTATTGATCGAATAGGATATTGATTTTTCATAGAATTTAAATTACTATTCAATGATAACCTATCATATTCATCTGTATATTGAATATAAAAACGTGTTGTACGATTTGATAATGGTATTGTTTCATTATCAGGTATAATAAGTATAGATGGTTTTAAATCTAAATTTGTTTGAATATTATATCTATGATCTTGTTTTAAATATCTTGTATCATCACGATCATTTTTTGTATAAAGTATTTGTTGATCATCATTAAACAATGGATATTCTTCTATACTTGATGATGATGATAAATTACTAGTTGATTTTGCATGTCGTAATAATGATAAATTTGAATTATTTTTATTAAATAATTTATTTGAATAATTAATTGTTTCTTTTGATAATTCAAATGAATTTTTACCAATTGTTATTATTAGTCCTCCTATATCATTTGATTGAACTTTTCCAATACGATTAATTAAACGTGCAATTATATTACCAGTACGTTGTGGTGATATATTTATAGCTTCAATTGAATCAATAGCATCAATACGTGGTATAACAATTTCATTTTTATTTAATTTTATAACTAAACGTCCAAATTGATCTTGATATATTGTACTTGAATGATGTATATGATTAGCAAGTATTAATAATGGATCAATAGTATAATTATTTTCTATTGAAGGTTGTTCAATATTTTCTAATGTTGTTGTTGATGGTGTTTTTTGTATAAAACGTAATGATTTATTAAATGGAAAAATTAATTTTAATTTTGTATCAATAAAATTTTCTTGTTGTTTTAAATAATTTAATGGTAAATAATAAAATTTATTTTGATATAAAATTTCAATAGAATTATTATGAAAATAATTTATTTCTTGTAAATTATTTAATAACCATTGTGATAATTGATAACTATTAAATGGTAAAATATATTTATTTAATAAATTAAAATTTTTTATATTAATTATTGATTTTAATTGTTTAAATGGTATTATTAATATTTGATTTGAAAAATAAATTTGAAAAATTTTTAAATTTTTATTATATCTTATTAAATTATGATTATACATATAATCAATTATTTTATGATAATTATTAATTAATTCTATTTTATTTTCATTTAATATATTTATTGATGGAATTTGTATACATTGATTATTATAATATAATAACCAATTATTAAATTCATCTTGTTTTAATTGACTATATTTAATAAGTATAAATTTCATATCTTCTCGTCTATATTGATTATTATGTATAAATTGTGTATGTTCAGATGTTAAATATAATTTTGAACCATTTAATAAATTTTCTAATATTAATAAATGATTTATATTATCATATTTTATTTCACCTTGATTATTTATATAATCAACATAATAATCAATAAGATTTTCTTTTTGTTTTAATGATAAATCATTTAAAGATTTTAATGAATATGAATAATTATTAAAAATAAAATAATCATTATTAAATATACCACCATTTGAAAGTAACATATCAATAATATATGAACGATTAAATTGATGTTCTAATATTTGTTGATACCAATTTGAAGGTAATAAAAGATAATGATTTGAATCATGAATAAATTCAAGTTCAATAGATTTATTATTTTTATTAATATGTATATGTTTAATATGAGATGAAAGTAATTCATGTTGATTTATATTATTTTCTATTAAATGTTTATTTTCATTTGATGATATATAACGATAAATATAATTTCCTGTATTATTATCATATCGAATATCTCCATTTTGATATAAATAATTAGTTATTGTTTGTATATTATTTGTTGGTAACATATATTCATATGGTATTTGAAGTAATTGTGTATTTTGACCATCAAATAATTCAATTTCAGTTTGTTGTTTATGTTCATTAGATTGTATAGAATGTATAATTGATTGTAACCAAATTAATTCATCTGTTGTATTTAATTTAGTATTTTCCATAGGAAATATAAATTTACCAGATGAATATTGAATATAATTATATAAAAATAAAATATTAGCTATATCATTTGTATTAATAATATCTGTTTGTTTATTATTTGTTTTCATATATGTATTAATATGTTCATTTTTAATAAATATTTGTTGTTTAGAATTATTATTTTGATTATTAAAATTAATAATAATATCATTTTGTTCATTGATTTCAATTAAATTTTGTTGTTTTAATTTATTAAGCCATTCAATTAAAATATTAATATCATTTTTATTTAAAAAATTTTCATTATTTTTTATTTCTAATATTTGTTTATTAAATGTTAATATTAATATTTGATTATTTTTATCTTCATCAATATGACATATATCTAATAATAGATGAGCTAATTCATTAGCATTTAAATTTTCACCTTGTCTATGTTTAATTAATAAATCATTAATATATTCATTTGGTAGAATAAAATTATCAGTTAAATATAATGAATCATTTTCAATATGAATATTATCTAATGTACGAAGATATTTTGCTATACGTTCAATAAGTTCTAATGATGAAAATGATGGTGATTTTAAAATACGTCGAGCATCAAGTTCACTATGTGCTATACGAATAAGTTTTTCATTAGAATCATATGAAACATGACCGATACGAATTAAATATTTTAATATTTCATTCCAATAATTTGTTTCTAATTGTTGTCTTTTATATAAATCTATTATATGTAAACCTACTTTACCTTTAAGTGGAATAATTAAATCATCAACATTAAGTTTATGTGTATCGAATAATAATTTTGTATGATCAGCAAGCCATTGTTCAATTATTGGTATTAATTGTGATGGTATATGTCGATTAATACGTTTAAGTTTATGTATCCATTGTGCATTATAATATTTTATTCGATAAAATAACCATCGATCATTTGGTAATATAATTGGTTCTCCATATATAAATATAACTAATTGATTTGATTCAGTTTCAAATGGTAATAAATCTTGATCAATAAAATCTAAATAAATATTTTTTGTTAAAATTAAATTATTATTAATTGATAATGGTAAATGTATTTGTTGATTATCAATAAAAAGAATTAATGTATTATCATTTAAACGTACATGTTTTCCATATGTTGATAAATAATCATATATAAATTCTTCATAATTTAATGTATCATCACTATTAGTTTTATTTGAATAAATAGAATTTGTAGATAAATCTTCAATAATTGTTATTGGATTATTTGATTCTTGTGAATTAATTTTTAAATCAGTTATATTCGATGTTGTCGAATTTAACATATTAATAGGTGGATTTATTTCAGAATATTTTGTTATATTTGATGATAATCTTTGTGGTTTATATTGTTGCCATGTATCATCTCCGGTTATATTTATTGTCGATTTTAAACGTTTTCTTTCATTAGTAGATAATGATGGTGGTGATGAACATTTTGAATCATTTTTATGTGTATGTAATTGATATTCAAGATCTTTTAAGTGATCTCGTTGAGAATTAGTTAAACTTAACCAAAATATTTCATTCCATTGCCATGTATGACCATCCTATAATTATTAAAAAACAAAAAAACAATTTTTTTTGAATTATTTTCGAATGTCAAATTGCTTAATAGAAAGAAATAAAAATTCCATACTATGGTTCTCTTGATTTCAATCTGAACTTAGAAAAAAAAACGCGACACTCGATTTCAAATTGAAATGCGGGACATGTGGATCTTTAGAATTATAATGATATCCATAGTATATAACCTCCTATTTTTATAGAGTGCAGGTCTTGAGAATTTTCATTATGACATCATAATGAAAATTCTAAAGACTCGCAAGACCTGCACGTTATAAAAAAAGGAGTATACACTATTCATATGGTCATCATAATTCTAAAGACCCGCGGTTTTTATGAAAAGGGACGCTGCTTTTTTTCCAAGATTCAGTTTGAAATAACGGGTGGTCCGAAAGTTTCCGCACAAAATGTTTCTTCATTTTTCGATCGATTAAGTATGTCAGTAGAAACTTTCGAACAATGGGTTAGATTCAGAATTTATGCTCCGAATTTTTGTAGGACTCATAGTTCAGGAGTTATGAGCGAATCTTTGGAAGGCTTTAAAATAAAGTTTGGACAAGTTTCAGTGCACAAAAAAACGTCCAAAGTAAACGTAAAATTTATTTCAGATACCCCCAAAGAAAGAGTAAACATTTCTCTATAAAATAATAGTCCGGTCATTAATTTACAATGAGACTTCTCTGAGTAATGAGAGTTTTAGTAAGAGACACAGAGACGTTCTTGAAATTCCCTGGTTTCCAGACTGTCAAAAAGAGCTTGATTACTTCTGAAAAAATGCTGCGAGATACTCAGCTCTTAGCTCACTTTGTAAAGAACGAACTCGCCCTTGACACTGTGTAAAAAATTGATAATAGAAGAAATTCAATAAGGTATATTATTGTTGAGAAGAACGTATGTTGTCAAGATGCTGATCCAAAAAATTTCAAAACGCGATGTAATCAAGGAAAAGGAACTTGGGCTAAGCTAAATCGGACGTCTTTACAACGGAAATAAGATAGTGCCGAGAAAGGTTGGTGAAAAAGAACAGAAAATCAATTTCAAAAGACATACGATTACATTTTGGTTCTTTGGATCTGTTAATTCAACTGCTTTCATCCAAACTTTATTTTTAAGCCTTCCAAAGATTCGCTCATAACTCCTAAACTATGAGTCCTACAAAAATTCGGAGCATAAATTCTGAAAGAACATAAAATTCTGAATCTAACTCATTGTTTGAAAGTTTCTACTGACATATTTAGTCGGTCGAAAAATGAAGAAACATTTTGTGCGGAAACTTTCGGACTACCCGTTAAAAAAGACTATAGACTCAAAAATTCTTGTGTTGAATTTCAATAGTGTTATTAACACTTGACCTATGAATAAAATCAATCAGATATTTATGTCAGTAATAGAATGAAAAGTGTCATCATGGGTGGTAAACTTAATAAAATGATTATAACTCGGGAAGAAAAGTTTCATGGAGAAAAATATTTTTTTTTTCTTTCTGTGTTGATGTTGAAAATTTTACCTGTAAATAATGTCCAACATCATTAAGACTGTTCAATGATCTGCCAGTAATTAATCGTATTTGATCAAGTTTAAATGATGCTATTGATTGATTATCATATGTATTATTAATAGAAGAATCTATTCTATGTTGAATAATTTGAGCTGGTTCAGCATGATGTATTGTTGATATATTATGATCTTTTGTATGAAAATGTATTTCATCATTATATTTCGATAAATTTTCTTCAGATTTATTTTTTTGTTCAAATAATGTACGTAATGTACTAACACGATTAGTTGTTAAATTTGTTTGATTATCAGTTTTATCCATATGAGTTTGAATCCATTTTGATAGATTTATTGGATGATAATCAAATTGTTGTAATTGTTCAGATATATTACGAGAATTAATATCAATTAATGAATTTGTTGTTGATGTTGGTATTTGATGAATTAAATTTTCCGAACATTGTACATGTGATAAACGTTTTTGTTCATTATTTTCATATTGATTATCTATAGGTATAATATCATCAGGAACAGATGGCCAACTAGATATTCGTTGATTATTATTAGTTGATAATGTATTAAATTCATTATTTCGAGCTATAACAGTAGTTACAGATGATGATGATGATGTTGATGTTGTTTGACTTTGTTTTTCATCTAGATTTAAAATATATTCTTCATATGTATAATTTGAATCTTCAATAAGTTCATTTGATGATGTATATTCATTATTAAAATCATTTGATAAATTTTGATTACCTGAATAAATTTTAAAACGTTGTTTATAATTAGGATCAAATTTTTCATTTCCATAAATAATTAATGTTGAACTATGTGTTGATAAAGGTGTTAATAATGGTGATGTTTGTGTTGATTTTGTTAATGATAATGGATCATATTTTCTATGACAATGTATTGGTTGACGATATTGTTGTTCAATAAATATACATTTATCATTATTTAATAAATTTGTTGGATTTTGAGATGGATAATAAACAGATATTAATTGAGTTTCAGCAAATGATGGAATAGATTTTGATGGAAATGATGATTTTATATCTTGTGTTGTTTGTGTATGAATTGTACGATGAGTTATTGGCTTAATATTTAAAGATAATTTATGTTCATTTGTTTGATCAATATTATGAATCAAATTTCGAGATGAAGACGAATCATTTAACTTATCAGATGATGATGTTCGAGATATTTGTGTTCGCTGCATTTAAACTAAGATAAAAAAAAATAATTTATTCAATACATTTTATTTTTCTTCAAATAGGTATTTTTGAAGGTTGTTATCGTATATATAATTTATATTCAAATCATCATCACTACCGTGTTCTCTGTTTTTTTCTTTTTTTTAACATATAAAGAACTTGTTATGTTCTTTTTCTTTTCTCTTTTTACTAAACTAATACAACCACAAACCAACAATCAGGATTAGTTCTCCTCCCGCTCTATTATGCTAAAGAAAGAAAAAAAGAGAAAAAAATATTGCGGCGTCATGTCAAAACTAGAGGTAATAAACACGACAGTTAGAACTTTTTTTTTTTTTAATGAAGTCATATAACAAAGATTGAAGGACTTAAAATACTTATAGCTATTATTTTTTTTTTGATCAATTAAACGTTCAAATACTAGATCATACACTAAATATATATGTTCGGACAAAAGATTAAAAAAAAAAAAGGAAAACTCAATGATACTTAAACAAGTCTCAAGAATTTTTTGTAATTATTTTTTTTTTTTTCATTAAAAATGGGTCACATTTCTTTCGTTGTATCTAGAATAAAAAATAAGAAAATATTTCTTACCTGTATTTTATATTGTATATTTGTGTTTGCTTGTGTCGTTATTGAATTCCATGAAATATATTAAAATAATGAATCATTAAAGTATAAATGTATACGTAGTAGATGACGATCATACAAATGACATTTTTTGTTTTTTTATCGAATGAAGACAGAAATGAGTAAAAGAAGAAGAGGTGGAAAGAACAAGAGAAAAAAAAGAGTGCTGAGAAGAACGGTGATCTTCTAATCAGTGAGTGCACTACAAAATGAATCATATTTTATATACTTAATGTCTTTTTTTTTAAATGTCATTTTTTATATACATATAAGTTTGATTCATCATAATGATGAATCATAAATTTGAGAGAGAGAAAGAGACTTTTTTTTTTTTTGGCTATAGATACTTACCTCTACTATCAGTTTGATCATCATATTGAGAATCAGTTCCTAGAAAACAGAGAAATTCTATTAGTTGATTATTTTGTTCTTTTTATAAGTAAAATATATAGCTCATGCTTTTAAGAGAACAAAATGCAGGATTGAGAATGTGATCATATTACAAAGGAAATATATGTTTATTTTTGTATAAAATGATTATAGTTATTTAAAACAAAGAAAGATATGTTTTTTCAAAAAATTTAACCTTGATCAATTTTTATAAGCAAAATCAAAGTTATACATTCATGCGATATTAATTAGAAAATTTCCTATTGGGAAAAAGAAAATTCGAAACATAAAATATTCAATGAATTAACTGGCTTTGACATATATTGAGAATTTTTCGAAAAAATTGAATTTTATTTCCTTGATGTATTTATATATAGAGAAATAGCTAAGAGAAAGGGAACATACTCGAGTATTGGTTCACTCTTCAATCGAGGTATCGTGCATTTTGTAGGCTTTAATGAACTATGCCTACCATAGAGAGAGCTCGTGGCTCATGGTCCATTTCTGAGGAGATCGAACGTTTTATTTTTTTTAGTGAATTTTTGCTGTAGAGTAAAAAAAACTAATGTTAAAAAAAGGACATCGACTTTCACACTTCATGCATTTCAAATTTCAAAAAAAAACCCTGAATTGCGGTAGTTTTTTGAAACTAAATGAAGACAATTCTTGAGGCTACAAAATCTCTATGCAAAATTTTTTTTGAGTATACTTAGGTTTTTTGGAAAGAATCGATTTACTTTTCGTTAGCAATGTGACGAAGTACGAAAACATACTCTAATAATTTCAAACGTTACAAATCCTTCTTCAGAATCTCTAGATGATAGTAAGACAAAAATTTTGTTTAGGATCTCTAGAAAACCGATTTTTACGGAGTTCGATCCTACTGGAAATTTCAACACAGCTGGGGTTCGTGCCGTAGAATCTATTCTGATTTTTTTTTGTATGGTTCGAGATATATTTACTAATTAGCCTCAATTAATTAATTCGTTTTAATTAACTGTTTAAATTTAGTTAATTGAAAGAGTCGGCATTTTTCACATATGTTTATTCTATAAAAACTTATTGAGAAAGATAATCTTTTTAAAAAATTAAAATCAGATGAAAGACGAGTATATCTCATTTTGCTTGAAATAGCCTATATACAGCATGTATTTTTTGAAAACTTCATATTTCAGAAAGATTTGGTGCAAAAGTTTTTGAAACTTTTTATACAAGCTAATCTAATTACAGTTTTTCCATTGGTGAAGTCGAAAAAGATGGTCTTACTATAAATGTAGGATCATCGACGGATGAAATTCACTAACAACATTCGATGTCTTCAAAGACATATCATTAGCATGAACATTTGCTATAGTAGACATAGTTTGCTAAGTTCCGACATGTAGGATTGTTCTCTCGTAAGTCTTATGTAGTATTCAGACCTTATTCACAATAGAAAATTTAATTCATTTTTAAGAGATGAATTAACATTGTCAGTATTAAAGAAAAACAATACAGTGTACTTTCATAAACACACGTGAAATAACGTTAGCAAAAAAAATCTATATATATAAAATAAAGAAAAGAATGATATTAGGAAGTGACTATTCTCTAATTGTTCACAAACAAAAAACAAATACAATATTTATTTTTGCAAAAGTGCATTGTATTTATACATTTCGACTACATCATAGTGATACAATTTGACTTTTTATTTGGTACATTGACTACTAGGTGTAGACACAAATTCTAAATTAATACCGGATTATTTTTCTAGTGTCGCGATAGAGTCTTATCGAGAATTATTTTTCTCAAATTTGATAAATTCTATTCCTATTTTGATTATTATCAATTATTTGAAATGAAACTTCTCACTATCATATGAGAGATTAGTGTTTTGTTTTTTTTTTCAATCCTTATTTATAAGCAGGTAAGACAAAAAAGAAATCGAGAACATGCTTATTAATTTCAAGCAATAAAAAAAGAAGTCTGCCGCACACCAGCCCTATTTATATTAGTAGATTTTTTTTGTAAAATTTTGCTCCCTAAGGAACATAAAAAGAAAAAAATAAAAAAGATATGAAAAACGATTTATCAAAAAATGAATCAATTAAGCATTATGATATACCCTTTCGAATTTCATCAAGTAGAGCATTTTTTTTCAATGCTGAATGAAGAAAATATTTATCGAAACATAACAATAATTAATAATAAATTTAAAAAAAGAATAAACAAACCTTGTTCACGCATTTGATTTTGTTCAACTTCTCGTTTATATTTTTCAATATCATCATTATCAATATGAGCAAATGGATTTTGAGCATAAAATGTTTTATAAACGACAGCATTATTTTGTTGATCACGTTTAATAATACCTTTTGATGCAGCACCAACAATAACAATTGCTTCTGATGGTGGTTGATGAGGTTCCTTGAATAAAAAAAAACGAATGAATAAATTTTTTTTTTTGTTTTTGTAAAATAAAAATGATTTACTTTTATTTGTGATGATGCATCATCCCAAGAAGCATTTTCAAGAATTCTCGATTGATAACCAGCTGAAACTTTTTCATTAAAACGATCTTCTTTTATTTGTTTTTGATGATTTTTAAGTTCTTTTGGATCAATATTACTTGGTGCAAATTGATGTTTTGTATCGATTTTAATTGGTGTTGAATGTTTTAAACCTGTATCTGGTACCCACTAAAGACAAAAAAAAAATGATATATTTACCTATAACAACGAAAGTTTGTCATTTTCATATATAAGACGGTTTGGTTAAAGATGACTATAAGTTTCTCGATAATTTTTCACTACAGAAAAAGGATATATGTGGACTTTTAGAGAAAGATTTTCCGTATCTAATAATGTATGTACTATCAAGTTCTGCTGCGTACTAGAGCCCGTCAGGTTGATCGTGTCCGTATCCGAAAACTGTGAACCCAACGTACTCTACTGCGTACTGATGTCATTTCAATAGATGACATCACCTATAGATATATCAACAGTACGAAGTAGAGCCTGATAATATATACATCATTAGGTGTCTTTCTGTACAAGTTGCCATTTATATCTCGTTATGTAGTCAAAATGTGATAGTCGTCTTTTTCATCAAATACATTGACAGTTTGTTTAAAATATTTGATTGATGTACTGAAGTGGTATGTCTTATGCACAAATGAGACTCATCGATCAAGCTCATCTTTCATTTATATGTAGGGAGATTAGAAGAATCGTAAAAATAACTCGACATCATGTGAAGTTCTTCTGAAGTTATGGTTATTCTACGAGTTTTTCGACTTGTGACGCAGTATTAGCAGGAATATTGATTCGAAATTTTGTTTATAAACAGATATTTTTCAGTCAATAAATTCTCCTGAAAGTTTTAACTGAAACGAATAATCCCTTGTAGAAATATGAAACATTGAATATGATTTGATTTGCTCGCCTTTCTATGAAAAATTTTTATTTTTAATTAAAAAAAAAAGTTAGAAATCAATTAACTAGTTGCGTTAAAGTCGTAGCGGAACTACATATGTTGAGATGATGAAGTAATGAAACAGTTCACTTGCAACTCATCACTGCACTCTCGGCAGTTTCATCATAATTTGAAGCGATCGGTGATTTGATTTCTAGTTTTCTTTTTATAAATATAATAATTGTTATATGTTGATAATCCCAAATATGGTGTCATCATGAAAGTACAAGCGTATTTTATTTTATAAAAACATAAATCCTATGCATAGATTTCTATGAACTAAATGTACAAACGTTTCATAGAGAATTCAATGTAACCCGTACATAACCGAACTGTTTTGCTATATAAACATCAGATCTTTTTAAATACGAAATAGTAAAATGTTCGACTTAAGATAGATGAAAAAGAGTGATGACAGTACTAAGCTATTCTAAAGAAAGCTTAAGAAAAATTTCTATCTATAAATACTGATAGTACAAATAGTACTCGATATATTATCGTTCATCGATTAATATCATTAATCAAAATAATTTATTGATTTTCATTCTTATACTTTTTCTTAACCAATCAATTAATTAATGATAAAATATAAAGCACTAAGATAACATCCCATGTGATTCAAACCGAACAAAAACTGTCAGTGTATGTCGACAATCAATTGGTAGTAGAGCCCATTGAGTCCAAAATTTTTCTAATCGGAATTGGATGGGTGCCCCAAAGATATGATAAAAATTTTTTTTCCACTTTTTTGTATTTAATGTAGAGCCTGGTGGTTTCGAGAACTGAATCGAAAATTTTTTTACTAATAACTGAGGGAGAGAGCTATTCGAGTGTTGAATAATCTAAAGTCGAATAGATTACGATAGACAATAAAAAATGAGTATTATAAATATACTAAAATTTTCCTTAGTTCCTATTAAGAACGATACATAAAGTTGAAACAATTTACGGAAACATTTTCCTCTTATTTGAGAGCCTCGGTTTTTCGCAAACTCTCATCCAAGCAGTTTTGCTGAAACTTTCTGGTCTACCAATCTTTTCAGCTTCATAAATATTTTTTCAGATTTCTGAATTGAACCGTTAGTTCCGGGATTAATTCGACGAGTTCTAACCGGTGGTAGTTTGATACTTAAACTTTCGAATACCTTCTGACTACAGTTTTTATGACCGGCAATCTACTGTCGGCTCAGTAATGCAAGATGTTATAACAATTGATTTGTATTCTATGTAATTTTACCTTGGTAACTTTTTTTGGATTAGGTGTTCCTGTTTCTTCGATTTCTTGTCTTAAATAAGCATTTGGTGAATTACGCCATTCTGTTGTTCGTTGAGCTTGACGTGTTGGTGAACTTCAAAGAAATAATATTGTTAAAAAACAAAAATCTTTTTTTTTTTATAAGAACTTACTAAGCTTCAGGATAGGTTTGTTCAACAAATGATGTAGCTGATGAAGCAGCGGGTGGAACTTCAACATCTTTAAATGTAGTTGTTTTATCAATTGTACGTATTAATGGTTGACGATAAACATAACCAGTACGAAAACCAGCATTATCCAAAATACGCATTAAACTTTCAAATTCAAGTTCACCTATTTTCCATTTTTTATCGCCTGTTGCTTCATTTAAATTTCCATGAAGTACATCAGCAACCTGAATAAAAATTTATTTATCTTTTAAAAATCTTCTCTTTTTTTTTCTCTTTTTCTTTTTTTACTCGTTTTTGTTGTTCATTCGATGGTAAATATAATTGATCAATACCCATAGGTGCTGCACGTACTTGTACTTCACAAGCATTAATAACATTAAATGCATATTTCCATGCTTCTTCAAGTGTTTCACCACATGCAACAAAACCATGATTACGTAATATCATTACTTTATTTATTGGACCTAAATCTTCGACAAGAAGTTTTTTAACATCATCTTCAATTAATATTCCACGATAATCATGATAAGATATTTTACCACAAAATAATGCATCTTGTGATAATGGTAAAAGGCCACATTTCATTGATGATACAGCAGCAACAGCCGGTGTATGTAAATGTATAATACATTTAAGATCTGGTCGTGCTTTATGTATAGCTGAATGAAGTGTATAACCAGCACGATTTATTCCATATGTTGTACTACCTGGATCAATAATATTACCTATAATTTAAAAACAAAACAAAAATCATAATGAAATAAAATAAATAATTTTCTATACCGGCTATATCAACTTTAACTAAACTTGAACCTGTTACTTCATGATACATTAAACCAAATGGATTAATTAAAAAATGTTCAAGTTCTTGATTAACACGAGCCTAGAACAAAAAACAAACGAATTTTATATATCATTTGCATTTATTTGATTCTATCTATCAGCGAAAGGAAAACTCAAAAAAAAAAAATAATTGCATATTATTAGTGATAGCGTTCCATACAGATTAATCTAAAATGTTAAGATCAGAATTATTTGTTAATTATCTGTGTTTATGAAATGCACGAATTATTCTATGCATTATACGAATGCATCCTTATGTATATGAAGCATAGCATTGACGATCAGCAGCCGTTTACCTTCAGATTGGATAATTCTCATGGGATCAGATTCAAGACGTAAGATCATTTTTAGAACAGACTAACCACGCTATTGGACACTTCCCATGTGATTTAAATCGCCGCTATACTGGCGGTGGTGCGACAAAAATAAAATCCGCAACATACATAAACCTTTTAATTTATATCTCTCCTGTCGACTAGTAACATAATCACGTTCTAATGAAAAGTATTTTTCATCAGTGAATAGAATTTTCTTCAATTGATGAGATGCAAGAAAGTGAATTGATCGTTTAATAAATAAAAAAAGAATGATCTTATCCAGTCGAACAGAATTTCGTCTCTTTTATAAAATAAACTTTTTTCAATGTATCTTATGGTATATTTTGTATTTTAATCAAATGTATTAATTGATAAAAAGATGACTTATAAAAAATAGTTTTTAATACGTTGTCTATCAATCCCAATAGGACGAATTCAACTGTCACCAGTGAACTATAATAAAAAAATTACCGCTATCACAATGGTTTTCGCAAAAATCTCTTCCGTTACTATGCTCAATTATCAGAATTCATCAGATTCTGACTGTTGGACTTGTAGACACTCAAAATTGGAGTGTAAATATCTCCTTAAAAAAGAAGCTGTCACGAAAGCATCACCATGGATATCTCTACTTTCTATTCATCCGAAATATTAAAAAAAAAAAACTAACGAACCGTAATATGATTATAAATGCCTTGTGACCATCCAAATAAATCCACAAGACGATAAAGTGATGCTAATTTACATCGAAGTAAACGTTCACTTTTTGAATAACCTTGTGAATCAACACCACGTATATCATTAATTGGTACAATAACTGAACCACCAGCACGTGATAATGATGATACAGTTGTCCAACGTGATGTATGTGGTAATAATAATTCTGATATTTGTTGTAAAGCAATTAATGATGCTGGATGTGGTCCATGTTTTAATGCATCATTTATAATTTCTTCAAGTTCATCACGAAATTCTTTAGAATTTAATATTGTTTTAACACGTTGTCGTTGTCCCATTTGACGCATATCTTCAATAACATCAGCTGGTCGTTCAAGTTCACGACGATATTCATCATCATTATTATCTTGTTGATATGATTGATTTTTTATAGGTGTTTCAATACGTGTACCATTAGTTGCTGTCGGCATGCTTGTTTTTTTTTTTAAAGAGAATTATCTAAAAATATATAGATTTATATATATTTTTCTTTTTTTTCATCAAACAGGATATGTGAAAAGGTTTAGCATATAAATATAATAAAGTCGAAAGACTTTGTGCATTTCATGACAAAGAAAGTTATTAGTTAGAGCGATAAACGTAACGAAAAAAAACACCAAACAACCACAAGCAAAAAACAAAAAAAAAGAAACAAGGAAAAATACAAGATTAATTCAATTCTGATTAATTTTTATCGATAAAACGAATCAATGGTTCACGATAAATATAACCAGTATGATAGCCCTAAAATAAAAAAAAACATATAGAAAAAGAATTATTGAAAATTACTTTTTGTTTTATATATAGTCTTGGACAAATATAACCGTCACCTATGAAGTATTTACTATTCTCTAAAGAATAAACTCTGATTACACGTACTAACCCACCTTCTATCAGTTCGCATGTTTAACTAGAGCTCATTGGAATTGAATCTGAAAATTTTTGATCCAAGGGATTCTAGTCGTCTGAGAAATGTGTAGGATGCACTTGCCATCGAATATAAAAAAAACTCGGAGAAAAAATATCTTGTATCTTCGAGGCAATTAATCAATGTCGATTAGAAAATTTTTGGATTCGATGGGCTCTATCTTTAACAGATATTCTTAATGAAAAGACAATATCTCAGTTATTCTAAAGTGATTTCTAAACCCAATTCTGACTCTAGAGAGATAGCAATAGAATTTGATAACAAATATGCCCATTGAAGAGAAAAAGTGTTCCTATTTATATCTTATTCTGTAGTCAGAATCTTATAGTAGCCTTTAGCAAAAATAAATCAATTATATCTTTCTAATAAATAAGCAAATATATTTCAGATTATCTGAAGTATATAAATATAGAATTCAGATATAAAATAATTGTGACTCTCAAAATATTTGTTTGCGTAATATTAGGTGAGTTGATGGTATGAATATAAGGATTAGAGTGAGATGTATATCTAATTTCAGTATGTTTTTAATTGCTAAAAGAGTTCAGATAAAATGCCATTGAAAAGAAAATATCGTGAGAGTAGTTGTAGTTGTTACAAAATTCATATTATGAAAATAACTGTCTAGCTGATTAGCAACAGTCACGGATTCGAAAAAGATGAAATTTTGTTCGTTGTTGTCTAGCCGATGAATCAATTATATGCGGATTTTTCACGAGTAAACATTTTCTCGCTTATTTATGAAAAATGATTGTCGATACTTTATGAATAAAAAAAAAACACGCCTCTTACATTATGAATCTATATATAAAACAGTCATTTATAACTATTCTTTGACCGTATAAAATTTATAACCTCAGATTAATATTCACGTCAGAATTAAAGAAGAAGGGTGCGAATGAACTTAACAACTACAATCGAAAGAGAATAAATCAAATTGTCTTCTTATCTGATATTATATAAGACAAAATTATTTTACAACTCATCGCCTTCACAAAATATTCAACAATACTCTGTTTCGATATAATCTTTATTTTAACATAGACTTCAGTTCAATAGTTTAAAGTACGATTTCGATGATTATTTTCTCACTTGTCAATATTGAGCACACAAAATTGAGTATCAAATTTGACTGATTTTTATTGTGACACTGACGTTCTGGAGTTAATCATTCGTTTCTTTTTAAACTTATATTCCAATAATGTATAACATATTAGAAATATGAGTTCGTATCCTTATCTATATTCTTTCTATTTAACACTATAATAGATTTAGAGATTTATAGAAAAGTCGCACACATTTTCTCAATATCTAAGTGTATTTCATCATAATAATAAACAATTCTCTGAAATATAAACATACAGCTCTATCTAAAACAATCATTAATGTTGACCATTCAAGTTCACCAACAGACCATTTAGTATCCGATGTATTAACTCCACCACCACCTGTACTAACTGTATCTGTAACCTAAATAAACATAAGAATTTGTTTTTCTCTTTTCTATTAACTTAAACAAAAAAACAAAAACAAACAGAAAAAAAAAGAAACAATGTTTACTTGTTTTGCTGAATTATCCGATGGTAAAATTAAATTATCAATACCCATTGATACTGCTCGTAATTGTGATTCACATGCTAATATAAGATGAAATGTTATATGCCATGCTTCTTCAACTGTTGTACCACATGCTAACATTCCATAATTAGGTAGTATAAGAACTTTAGCTGTTGATTGTTGAATATTTTTATCAAGTGATAAATGATTTGTTGTTAAATCTATTTGAATTAAATATGTTGATGTTTGACCACATATAAGTGATTCTTGACTCAATGATAAAAGACCACATTTCATAGCAGATACAGCTGTAACAGCTGGTGTTTGAATATGTATTATACAATTTATATCTGGACGATGTTTATAAATAGATGAATATAATGAAAAACTAAGTGCATTAATACCAAATGTTGTACTACCACGATCAATAATTGAACCTAAATAATAATAAAAGAAAAAAACATAATTTTATCATTCCCGATTGTTTATTTTTATAGTATTTTCTTACCATTAGAATCAATTTTAACAAGAGATGAACCAGTTATTTCATGAAAAGCTAATCCAATAGGTTTAATAAGAAATTGATCTGTACTATTATTAACACGAACCTTCAGAAATAAAAAAAAAAAAAAATATTTCTATATTTTTAAATTTCAAAAAAAAAAAACTTTTTTTTCCGAATTTTAATCTTACAGATATATGATTATAACATGTACCATAATTCCAACCATAAAGATCCATAACACGATAAAGTGAAGCTAATTTACATCTTAAATAACGTTCATTTTTAGCATATGTACGACTATCAATACCGCGTATATCATTAACAGGTAAAACAGGACCTGAATATTTCTTTTTTTAATTTTAAATTTCAAAACAACAAAAATATACCTTTACAAGTTGTTGCATCAAGTTTAGTTATTGGTAAAAGTAAATTTGAAAGTGTTTCAAGTGATTCTTTATTTTCTTCATTAATTAATAAATTTATTAATTCATTATGAAATTCTGATGAATTTAATAAGATTTTTGATGAATGTTCTAAATAATTGAAGAAATTTTATGAGGAAAAACAAAACATTACTCTTTTTTCCGTGGCTTGAATACTCCTCTTAGTCCTATTTAAAACATATCAAACAAAACAAAAAAAAAAGGAATGTTTTGATATCACACAATAAAAGACAATACCGATTGCAAAGGATATAAGCTAATCCTATAATGTTCATTCAATAGAAAAAAAAGAAGAAACAACTATTGAGTAGGTTATAACCTTTTATATATGATGCACATCGATGCCAAGGATATCGTTCGAATGGGTAATATTCTTCTAACAATATTCTATCAATCTATCTTTTCTTATGTATTTAAGCTTAAATTTCATTATGATATAAGAATACAATTTTTTTTTTTATATTACCATTTATTGTTGATTGATTATCACCTTCACCTGGCATATTATATCTAGAATAAAATAATGTTATAATTTTAAACGATTGAAATTCTATTGAACAAAAAAAATTTATTCATAATGATCAATAGTTTCTTCTCTTTTGAGCAAGTATTGTAAAAAATTCGAAAGGGCAAATTTATATATATATATGTATATTTTTTTTTGAAGAGAAGAAGGCAAATGTATAAGTATTATTTTAACCAAAAGAGAAAAAAAAATCTACTCGCTCAACAATTTGAAACTTTTCATTTCTCATCTATGAAATTATGGATCAATCCATAACGAAAAAAAAAGAAAAATTTTTCTTTTTCTGCTTGTTTTATGATCATCAATGATATACAATATAGAGGCAACTTAAAAAAAATAAATCAACGAAGGTGTGAAGCTATTAAATCTCAATATCAACACTATCAACCTCTTCATTATTTTAATTCATTCACATTATGATCTATTCTATCACATTAGTGAAAACAAGAAAATTAATAATGTCATTCGATAATAATTTAAAATTCGGTGTTTTTTCATAAACTCGAGGTCAACTTCAGTTTCTATAAAAAAAAAAAAAAAAGGAACGCAATCCCCTTCTGGTCTCTCATATTGACGATGAAAAATGAGCTGTAATATCGATTCCTATTACATACAGATTGTAGTTGTCTGTCATCATCATACATATATATATATCTAGTGTTCAGTTACATTATACCGTAGAAAAAAAAACGCATAAATTATAATATGTAGTAGCATATGGTGATATCTTATTATCCAATCGGAAAAGAACTCACAAGAAAGAAATTGATTTTTACAGAGTCTTAGTACTATATTCCTCTCTAAATCTCAAGATTTCAATATAATTATAAGCATCAGAAGATTATAAACATGAAGACAAGAATACTTCGGGTACTACTATATACATTACTATATTTTTATACATATATCCAGTATCAGTCAAGGCGAGGTCATCAACGGCAGCGATGTGAACAAACAGTATAGAAAATAGAAGAAAAGAAGAACGAACGTGCAACTATACATTTGCCTATAGAATAAACGGAACATAAAGAAGCGATTATCTTTTGACGATGATGGTTAGAAAAAGAACAGACGAAAAAAAGAAGAAGAAGAAGAGAAGAAAGAGATTCTCTGGTTAATCTGTGAAATTGAATAAGGAAATCAAAAATGATATATTTATTAGTGACGACAATTGCTCTCTTTTTCTCTCTTTTTTACCAATTTATCAATCAATCAATCAACATATCACTGAATAGACGTGAAAGATGTTGATATTTTGTTAAAGACAAACGTGTAAAAGATATGATTATCTTTATTAGCCTATTGTGATCAATAGAAATATAGTTAAAAATAGAAAGATAAATAAAATAATTCAAAATAAGATAAGTGTTTAAGAGTTTGTAAACAGAAGAAAAAAAAAAGAAATCATAACTTAATGTCACCTCTATCAGTTACAAGAACAAGTTCCAATAGAAATAAATTCATGAAAAAAA